CTGCAGATATCTGCCCTCCCAGTAAAATCAACTGTGTTGACAAAGCACTCGGTAAGAAACAATCTTCCTTCATTTCTTTTTCTCATTACAATAGGTTCCCCCAAAGGGAAATGGAAACACAATCAGTAAATATGATAAGGATTTTTTTTTCTGTAATACAAATACCTGGAGGTAGACTTGATATTTTGAAATGACTTTCCTCATTGTGATTTAGTCACTTTAGAGCTTGATGGCTGTGCTGCCTCCATTGTTGAACTGTTAATATTAAACCAACGCTCCATTCCTGCACATCTGCCCCCCACCTCCGTAGCCCTTCAGCTTTGACTCCGACCTCACTTTGGTCCAGCAGACATCGTGACTGAACAAAGGCACCTTGGTTTCAAAGACATTATGGTTGCAGTAAAAAAAAAATCCTTTTTTCGTGGTAATGGCAGACATATAAGTAAAATTATCATTTCCCAGCCAAATAAGCCAGAAATTTAATTATGTCTCTCTTTGCTGAATTCAAACCCTATTCACAATGTGGTTGAATGAAATCTTAGATATATCTTACAAGAATGGGCCATATTCATGTGGGTCACATTCCTGAATCAAATACTGTGAATAAATTCACCCTTCATGAAAGGTAATAAATTAGAATATGATTTATATATTTATATTGCAAAGGTGTTTTGTTCCCATATCAGACAAATAATGTGCCACAGTGCTCGTGCATACACATAACCTAATTGTTAGAGTTATAAAATAAGTCATAAAACATCAAATTATAATTAGTGCCTTTAATGCTCCCTCTTTCTGTTTTTGTCTGAACTGAATTCATTTACAACTTGAAAAGAGAGATTAGGAAAAGCTATTTACTCTCCTGTGTGTACGTAGTGTTGTTTTAGAGTTAGGTTAGATTGTGAATATCTATTTGTTATATGTGTGAGCAATTCACGCCTGCATGTTGACTGGGTGTAAGTATGGGAATGTTTTGAACAAACTCTGAACAAATGGTGTAACTGTAAACTTACTGTTTACTCACTGTAAACACCATTGCTGCAGTCTAACACCATTGCTGCAGACTAACACATCATTTTGTTAATACATCCAGAACAATATTGGTCTGTTAATATCATGTGGTCCATGCTAGAGAAGTCCAGAAAACCTGACATGACCTGACATTTTGTTGCACATTTTATCCATTAAATGATTTTAACTGTTAATTCTGGACTTGAAGACGGTAAGGAATCTGTTCATCCTCAAAATTACCCATACAGCTGGGGGCAACACAAACCACTAGTAATTTCAAAGTAATATAATTTAATGATGATGAGTTTTGGCACAAAATATCCACTCCTCATTAAAAAGACAAATTTACACCTTTGAAAACAAACTGTAAAAAAAAGAAAAAAAGAAAAGAAGCCACACAGAGAAAACGCCTAGTAGTTCATATTAGAAGGGATATACATTATGGCCATTGAGAAATTAACAGGTAACGTAATGTATAATTAAGTGTTCTGATTTGTTAGACAGTTTAAATGTACAGCTGCCTACCAATCAGAAATATTTAATTTCTGATTGGTAATATAAAGTATATTAGCAGACAACTTTAAAGCTGCAGCAGTCAATATTTTTACTTTAACAGTGGATCAAAAAACTGTGTAATGTGAAATGGGTTGTTCATAGTGATGCACTAACACATAGTTATCACCTGACTGTCTACAGAGCTTTTAGTGTGTTTTAGCTGATTGTTTTGGTTTTACTGTTTTGGTGATGTGAATAATGCAAATGAATGCTAAATGGACAACCAAGTTAACCACTTTATACACTTTTATAAGTAAGTGTTGTTTCCTAAGTGGTCAAAAAACACACTATTTATTGGACACTCCCTATCCTTCACACTTTTTCCTTTGTCGCAGATGTAGATTGTTGTTGAATCTAGATTATGTGTAGTATCTTGTTTTGTTTTTCTGATAGAGTGATATCCGTTAAACTACTGTTTCCATTGTGTTGCAGCTCAGCAACAGAAGAACAGTGGGGACACCTGTCCATGCGAGACACCCTGTAATCTCACACGCTACGGTAAAGAGCTCTCCATGGTCAAAATCCCCAGCAAGGGCTCTGCTCGCTATCTTTCCAGGAAATACGACAAGTCAGAGGACTACATCAGGTACGACAGGAACTTTCAACAAGCTCACGTATGAGCAGTGATGTGGTGCTCAATAAAAAGGGCCATAAAGTATGACCTCCAGTCTGCAATCACTAATAGACAACCATAAATATAAAGAAAAATCAATTGTATTTTCATGCAGGCATCAATTTATATTTAGTCTTTAGGTTAATTTGAATTACAAAGTCTGTGGATTGTCAAGCACCATGAGGTCATTACAAAATGTCTATTTATACATAAAACAATATCAGATGAGTAGATTGTTGTGAAATTAAATGAACAAAAATGATAATTAGAGGATAAAATCTTTAAATTTTGTACACTTTTGTAGCACGACCAAAATGTCAACTTTGCAGAGAAGATATCTCATATGTAGCAACTTGATCGATTAATAAAAAACGTGGAGATAAGCCTGTCTGACTTTAAAGACACCATGGCCTCTACTCTAGTAGCACCCTCAGGAAAAAATAACGCTGCTATAGAATAGCTCAGAGAATAGCAAAATTGCCTGAGCATGAACAACTACTCTACAATTTACCCTTATATAAGTAACTGCAGTATATAGCTTGGCAAGTTTGCTGAAGATTAATTCATTACAAAATATGCCTTTTTTGTGTAGTTTACAGATTGTTGTTCCATCCAACACTTTAATGTGCTTACACTGTAATTTCTCTCAGTGCCTGATAGTCAGGGATGTGGGAGAAGGTAAATACACATAAACCAAAGAGCTCATGATGCCTCACAACACTTAATATTATCAGACTTTCTAAATCCAGACAGATCAGAGACGTGCAGTGACTGAGCATGCTGTCAGTGCTCATTCTGCTCATCTCAGTTAAACCCTGAAACACCTCATTATCTCACAATCGCTAGTTAGATCTGTGTAAAACGCTGTAGGCCTGACAACGCCATCATGACAATTTACAGTGAGCATGAAGATGACTTGGAATGGTATTTTTTAAAATTGTGTTAGATTTGTAGTGATTTTGCCGCAAGTGTTTTTCACTTTGTTTGACATTCAAACTCCACTTGCTTTTCCAGAGACAACTTTCTGGTCTTAGATATCTTCTTTGAAGCGCTGAACTATGAAACAATTGAGCAAAAGAAAGCCTACGATGTTGCAGGTTTATTAGGTAAGATTTCTGTCACTTTTCTGAATATTTAAACGGACTTGCTGCGGCGGAGTGAAAGATCCATTAGTAGCAAACAGGAACCACTTTGGCATTATGTCCATTGTGCCTCTCCTTAAATATTCTTTTTACAGGTGACATTGGTGGACAGATGGGCTTATTCATTGGAGCCAGCATCCTGACAGTCTTAGAAATACTGGATTATATCTATGAGGTACAGTCTCTGTGCAAATCCACACACATCAGCCAATCACATTTCACAACACAACAAAAGATCAGAACTAGTTGTGACATAATTAGGAATAATTAACCACTATTGTTCTACTGGATTCCAGCAGGAAAATCTGTTGCAACCAACAGTAATTATTTACAAAACACATTTAGTGCCTTGATTGTTAATTTTAATTGTCCAAAATGTATTTAATTATTTATTGTTGTTATATTTGTTAGTACACATGACTGTTGTTCCCAGATAAATGTTACAGTGTAAATAATGCACTTATTATGTATTTGAAGAGTTTTATTTGATTTCAAGAGACAATATAACTTTATAGTCATTCAGACTATACAAAGTGCACTGTAGAATTAAATGACATTGCGTCCAGCTCACGAAGGAATTGGAAAATACTACAGCAACTAACAAAACTGACAAACTAAAAAAAAAAAAAAAAAAGATGTGCAGTTCTGCCCTGTATGCTGCAGTATCTCTTGCCGGAGGGCAGAAGGGCAAACAGTCCATGGTAGGGATGGGTGGGGACTCCAGGCTGAAGAAAGTAATATCCGCTCAGGTCTGTACTGAAGACATGCTGCTAACACTGGTCATGAAATGACCTCCTGCCTCAGCTATATCCTATTCTAAGCAGCTGCTTGCCAAACATGTAAGAGTAAAGCAAAATCAGAGGGGGGTTGTAATGCAGACTTCACAGTAAATAAACTCTTCACTCTGCTGGGTCTCTTGTCTCCCTCGCTCACCTCTGCTCTTTCATCCACCCTGCTGCTGTGCTGTGGGTGAAAGCAGGTGATCAAGCACCGGCTACAACGTCTGCTGAGGCCGCAGAAAGAGGAGAAGAAGAACAAGAACCAGACCAGCACTGTTGCAACAGTGGGTCTCGAGGAAATAAAAGCAAAGGTACAGCACATACTGTACTCTAACAAATGGCAGTTGCACTGTTTTCATGCCAAGTGTACAACTTTTCCTGCAGCACAGTAACTTCATTAGGAAACTACAAGGAAATAATTCAGGGAGAAGCAAATAAATATTTTCCCACATCTAAAATAATGAAGAATGTAATATTCCTAATTAGTCTTAACCACTGTGCAAAGCACATCCTCCCCTTGAGCTTGATATTGCTATTGCACAACTTTATTCTGAAGTTGCATATATCTAAACAATTAACTTTTTGTCTTACATCTAACCATAACTGTATCTAATTCACCACTACATACTAAAACTAACAGGGTATTAATTTTGAAACAAATCAGCCAGAGGGGAAAAAAAGTGTGACTGGCTAACATCAAATTATACTTTCCAGTACATGTAGAGACACCACATTAGCTTCAGGATATGATCTGAAAACCCCAGTAGCTATATAGTGTACATCCAACAATTCAGAGAACATTTATTCAAGCTAGTCCAGAATTCAGCTCTCTATTAAATTAACTAAAGTTAACTTAAAAACATAATTTATACCCTTCACCTAGCTACTATTTAAAGACGACATTATGCAGAAGACTTGAAATTAACAAATGAGACCATAAACTCATTAGGAAAATGTTTACTGAGGAAAAAAAATTCAGTGAGAAGTAGGGTCATTTTGTCATTGACTTCAATGCAGTCAGGCTTCTTTTAGTAACCAGTGGAGTCGCCCCCTGCTGGCTGTTGAAAGAATGCTTCTAAAGTTTACGGCACTTGCGCATTGGCTTCACTTTTCAGACGCGGAGGTTCCTGGTTGGACTGGAAGCAGCTACAGCTAACAAGTATAAAGATCTCTGATAAACACACTGTATCTTCTTTTTTCAATCCATGCCTAAACAGAAATGTAAAGAGGGTAATTTTTGGTTTTAGGTTAAGTGACGTTCTGTTACTGTCAGCAAACAACAGCCTGCTGCAGTCATCACAGTGAGGTGCCATTGCATCTGTGAGATCAATACCAAACTGGACTGTAACCATATCTGGCAAGCTGTTCGGTAGCCGGACAAACTTCAGTATTAGGCAGATGGATAACCTCTTGTCGTCACAAAATAGTTACAGCAGGTTAACTCCCTAAACCCACAAATCATCATCAAGAATGAGGCTAGCTTTTCCCCCCCAGTCTTTCTGCTAAGCTAGGCTAACCACTGCAGCTGCATACTCTGCACACAGAGATGACACTAAGATCAATTTCATATTTGTGTATTGTCACGTATGACATTACACACACATTACACACGTCCTCGAAGCATGATCTTGAAGTTGACTTGTATGCTGTGCCTTCAACAGGACCCCAATGACATGACACGGAGTCACCCAGAGGGGGCGTACGCCAACACGATGCTCCCCAACCACCACCACCCTCACCCACACCCTCACCACCATCACGCTGCACACCACGGGGTGTTTGAGGACTTCGCTTGCTAGAGCCAACCATCGTTACCAGTCCTGGTGACACCAAAAGATAAGAGCCGTCTGTATTGAGATCAATAACAGACCCTCTGCATTTCCGTCGGTCCTTTGCTGTCACCAGTGAAAAGCTACAGCCAAAGTCGAACACCTAACTTGTGCTGCTAACATAGCACTTGTACGTACAGTATGTAGGCACAAATTGGACACCGCTTTTACTTGTTTTTTTCTCTCTCTCTCTGGATGGGACCCCTCTCAACTTTGTCCAGCTTCATGTGAGAAGTAAGACAATTTGTGATCTCAGGACCAAGTTTTGGTACATGATCACTATAAGGGAACAAGAGGAGGACTGCATGTCACCATGATCCAGTTTATACTCCCAAAAAAGGAAAAATATGATTTATTTATTCAGCTAGCATCTCTATTTTCTTTTCTTCCTGTATTCCTCCATTTATCTCTCCTCAAACTATTCCTCCTACTTCATGGGAAACTCACTGTACCATATCAAGCCATTACACATTATAAATGATGTACTTATTTAAAGAGATACTATTATCTATATGTTCTATATTGTATACAAGATGAAAATACTTCATCAAGCAAATCTTATCCATCCAAAATATGAGGGGGGGGGGGGGGGGGGTTATTTAGGCCGGACTGTATGACCTTGGCTTAGAAGATCTAGCAGCATCTTTCCACATGATGCACTTTGTCTGGTTTGTGGTTAAGGTGTTAGAGAGTAGCATTGTGCTTGTACATAAAGTCCAACTTTAAATTGAGAAAGTTCTAAAGCTCTGTTTCGATGGTTGTTATTTATATTCAGTTAATATCTAACTTATGAAATCTAAATTTGAGTTATTTATACATTTTAGAAAAGACTTTTATATGACAATATCAATCATGATTGTAGCAATTACTGTCCACTTACAATCTGCAGATATGTTAGACTGCCAAACATAAATACATTTGTCCAGGTAAGAAAAATGGACTGAATGGATTGTGACTATTATCTCCATCATTTCCTTTTATATGTCCTGCTTGTTTCAAGACGACACACAATGTGATTTTTTTGATTATGACATGGTTGTATTTTTTTTTTCTGCCCACAATCCACTCTTTACTTTGGTTAGCATTATAACTTTAAGCTGACATAAGCAATAAGAAACAGAATTTAATTTTTTTGCCGTGTCATCTCTTTCAGCTTGTGGTCCAGTACCACTGTAAAAGTGTAGCAGCTATTTACCATGTTTGTGTGTGTGTGTGTGTGTGTGTGTGTGTGTGTTTCTTCTTGCACACATGACTGAGCACATTAGACTGTTTCAACTTGGCTGAGTTGATCCATGAAAAAAAGGAAAGTTTGAAAATCAGAGTAGTTATCAGGAAAGCTTGAAGTGTTATTGCAGTAGTAAGGTTTTTAACTAATAAATGTAGAGTTAGAACAGCTTCAGTGGAGGAGTTTAATTTAAAATTTGCTCTGGTGGCTCTGACTATTCTTGTTGGTTAACTTAATCCTCAATGGGAGGGACAAAGACATAACAGTTTTAAAGAGCACAAGTTAGCAAAGCGGGAGTAAAAAATAAAAAATGGAGACTCTTACATTGATTCATTCATAATCATGTTTGTCATGATCATGAAAGGTCAGCTTGCTCACTTGCCCTTATCTACTGCAGGAACTTAATTACATGTAACCCTTGGCTTCCCGCAACCTGATCTTTTCAGAACTTATGGCTTTGGTATGAGGTTCTTCCTTGTGTTACCCTTTACAAATTTATACGTTTTGGATTTACACTGTTAAAAAGGCATCATCTGTACCACCAACTACACTGTGTCATATAACCACTATGTAATTTTTATGATGGGAGAGCTAAGTAAACAGTTATGGGATGGACAACAATGGAAGACTTAGTGCTAATATTGGTTTTCTTTCACATTAATACTAGCTCCAGGCCTATTCTGGGGCCAGCACAAGTCAGTTGGTTATCAGAAATGGGGCCCAGCTCTTTGAACTGCTTTGTAGTTTCTCAGTTGTTTCTTCTTTTTAATTTATTCCCTGCGCTGCTTGACTGTGTGTCAAACGGATGCTCACAAATCTTCTTGTCTAACTTTTTGTTTTTAATAGTTTTCTTACCTGGATGTCTTTGTGTAACAACCATTTTTCAAGTGTTCTTCTTTAAAATACTGGTTTCTCAATACAGATGCAGTAGAAAAATAGCAGTTGTTGTTGTGTTTTGTGTAGTCCTCTTGGGGTGCATCACCTCTTGCTCCAGGAACTCATCTACAAAGTGATGGATTGGAAACAAAAGTAGAATCCATGACGATTGCCACTTTTAAATTACGGTTCGTTAAGTTCCTGCAGTGGAAAATGGCTTTAGGTTATCGAACTGACTACAGGCTGTAACTGCATCTCTAAGACTAGCTGGACTGATGAGCTAATTTAAACAATTTGGCATGACTTGACACTGGTGTTTGTGTCAGTAGAAAGAGTTAACTGGGCTTCTTAATACAGTTTCCTCCTTTCTTATTTTGCCTTCATCACCGGCTGCTGGGTGAGACGGGCACACTTGCATCATGTTTTCAAATATTTGTTTAGCTTTGTGTTCATCTTCACTGGAAACCATGTAAAGAAGCTTTCGGGAATGTGCTTTCAGAGATGCCTAGGATGTGACCCTTTTTTAATTTTGTCTGACCTGCAAAATGTTCAACATGTTGCTTTATTAGTGCATCATCATTTGTGATGTCCCAAATTCAGTTGTAACACAGCACTAGATGTTCTAAATGACGAAACAAATGTTTGTATCTTGGTGGAAATGTTGATAATGTTTCCCTCATAGCATGCTGGCAGCTTATTTGCTATGATGCAGCAGTTTGGGCCCGTATGCTGCAGGACTGTGAGATTACATCCTGCTTTGTTTGCTAATATTGAACAATTAAGTTGGTCGGACTAAATTTTAAAGTCCAACCCTAACCTGCACAAAATCAAGCCTGCTTAAAGTTTTGACAGGCCTTTGACAATCCACTCTGCATGTAATTCATAACATTAGTCTGGGAAATCTATGAAATACATCACATTGCAGGATATCTTGTTAACAAATGACGACATAATTCTTCTGCTAACTTGATTGGTGCATCCTGTTGCAGCAATATCGCTATACATCACTTTAGCTCACAATGAGATTCCAATCCTCCTTCTGTCAAATCCCCACCTCCTGTCAAGTAATCATGGGCTATACATGGCTGTTTAATATTCATAATCATGTGTCACTTTGACATTTTCAAAAGGTTCCCAATCACAGTCTCTGATGACATCCTGTACAGGCTATGCATAACAATCTTCTCCTCTGTCATCAATAATTGTAGCTATCCTCAGACAAGTCACACAGGGGCTGGTGTGCAGGGATGAATACAGCACCACATTATTACTGTAGAGTTTTGTTTGAAAGGTAGAGCCTGGAGTAGAAAGTTTTTTTTTAATCCTTGAGATGCTGTGTTTAAAACACCACCTGATTAATGCTGGATACAAAAGCATTTAAAAACACGAGTGGATGACAGAGCTGATTTTACGGCATATGATCTGAGTGAGGTGCCACAGGGCTGAGTGGTGGGCGGCAGGTCTGTACTGTAGCAGATGGGACAACTTCCCTGCTTGACAGCATGTAGCTCACATTCCTTGGATTCCTCGAGCCTCTACTCTGACCTCCCTTTTAGCATAGCTCCTCTGGCCTACTTCTTTATAGCTCTGTGACATTCAGCATGTATGTGCTTACCGCATTATCCATAAAAATCTATTTAGTCTCACCAGCCAATGATGTTAGGTTTTGAATGTTCTTTCTTTTTCAGCAGCTGATTTTTTTAGCTAAGGTCTGAGAGGTCATGTGAGAGGAGATAAATATCCCATAACTGACAAAAGTGGATAAAGTGGACCATCACTGCAGTAACAAGGAACGCTTACAATTTGTACAGTGTGTGATATTGTGATTATTTCCTCTGTTAAAACACATTTTATAAATGTTAAATATGGTAAATACAATAACTATTAAAGTTTAGATTGGTAAAACCAGTGCCTCCTAAATCCAGAGCCCAACTCACTTTGTAACTCCATGTTGTCTATTGTTTCTTTACAAAAAAGTCAAAATGTATGCCAATTTTTCCACCTTTTTAAAGCCTTTCCAGCACTGACTAAAACATTGTTATAAACAATGACTCCCAAGGTTACAAGAAGACTGAAGGCATCTCAAAGGTTGGCTCTGGTGAGACAATCTGGAACTCATTTGAAGTATCATTATCTATTTGGGACAAGTGACGTTATTTCTTACCCACTCTTCTTAATGTCTAGCAAATGTGTAATTCTACTTCTTAACATACCCTCCAGGTGAACCCAAATTGTTGTTATGACTGAAAATTCTAGTACCAGTTTCTAGAAGACTTGAAACAACTGTGTCCCTGTGTGGGAGGAGAAAGTCCTGGGATCGAATGTAAAACAAAGTACAAAATAATGACTTGCAATTAACTCCCAGCTGCTCTGTAGTTATGTGGTTTTACAGCATGCCTCAGGGTAGTGCATATGGACCCTTGAAATAACTAAAGCTGTAATTAAGTTTGCAACGTTTTCCCTGTTTTCACCCAACCCAGATATAAGGAATACCTTGGGTCTGACATGGGCAGGAATGTTAACGGTAGTCCTACTTAGCACACACCGGGAACATGAATGAGAAAACCATACCAATTCATGTTAGAGATGCGATTTCAAAATGTTGTTCAGTAATGCTGCTCACCTCAGTGACTGGCAGCCAGTACTGGTCTAGGACCTGTGCTGCAGACAGTAAAACATGTTGTTCTGCTGACACCTAAAGGACAAACTCAATTTTGTAGATGCACTACAAAAAAAATTACTATTTTCTTATCTATAAACATAAAGAGGAAATGTTTATATTCAAAAATTCTTTATTTAAAAATTACAACAATTCACAGTTCATTTGGAATTACAGCACACAATTAAATGTGATGAGCATTTATTAAAATGTATTGCTTTGGTTATACTAGTACCCATATGCATAAATAATGTAAACCAATAAGTCAAAACATCAATGGAAATCAAAAAATGAACCTGCTTTTTAAATCAATTGATTGAAAGTGTCTTCCGGATCAAATGATATGATTTTCGAGCACAAAATACAAAGATACACTATGTTTAATTTTGTCTCCAAAAATATTATATCATTACATTACTGTCAATATTGATAAATAAAAGATCAATTGCTGTGTAAATAAAGCTAAAAAAGGCTTAAAATAGTCTATAAAATATTTATACATGTACAGAGAATGTCATGAAAGCCTCTGTTAGTGCGGAAGTATTCAGATTCTGCATAATTCATAGAGAAATGACAGATAAATAAGTTATGGACAAAATACTTAGAGACTTCGCTCAGCGATGGTGGCTGTGTTAACAACACATTCATTTTAATTAATTAATTAATTAATCTGCCACACTCGCTTAATTTTGTGAATCTCACGTCTATAGAAGGCAAAGACAACACAGATCACCACAATAACTTCAAACTGTAATCTCAGCCCTCCCTCTTTTCACAGTGGTTTTGTTTTGGAAGATTCAGTTTCCAATTCCACACATTATTAGTGTCATACTCTTCAAAGAATCAAGGAGAACATTCATAGTACCTCAGCTGGAGCACTGTCACGGTGAAAGACTGCTCTTGTCAAGAAAAAAATGCATTATAAAAAGAATGCTAAAAGTCCGTAAGAACTGACCTCCACGGTCTGTATGCATGATAGAAAATACAGAAAACACTGTTGAGGACCACTACTGTGGATGTAGTAACAGATGCTTTAAATCCAATTAAAGTTAAATAAAAAGGACGTGCCTTAATTTTATGATGAAAAGTGTCTAGTGTCAGCAAAATACATTAAAGGTCTTGTCAAAAGAAATTACAGTGTATTTACCTAACATTGAGCAGAAAGCACAAGTCTTACTTTATGTCATTGTCATGAACAGTATTGTGATATACACACTGCTGAACTTGCAGCAAATGTCAACTGGACATCAATCCAGCTGTGTTATCTGTAATATTGCACATTTTAATATACTAAAACTTTCTGGTGTCAATACCACCGGCCAATAACGTAGGAAAGGCCTCCCATTAGACTGCACTGCAACTGGGAGAAAGCAACCATTTCTAAAACTGAGCTCAGGAAATGGACAGTATAATAACTTACAAATGTTTTAACAATACAGTCTAAAATACTTTGGAACTGTTTAACTTTTTCTTTTAGAGTATACTTGGTGACGTGTAAAAATGTTTCATACATTCTTGTTTTCAACCATTTCTAAACTAATTAAATTCTGTTTTAAAGTACCCTTACTTCAATGAGGATGACAAACCTGGGCAATCACTGCAGACATTACCCAAGGTGAAATTTCTTGCGACATCAAAAGGTTTTGTGGAGAAAAATCTAACTCAAATACACACTGCTGGCCTACTGAAACAGACCAGTCTTCTAGATCTACGATCTCTGAAGACCAGGGGAAGATACTTTCTAGAAACTCCTTCCCTACTTTGAGGCACATATGGATGTTTGAGATCATGATATTTCCAAGTCACCTTAAAAAAAAAAAAAAATAAAGTTATCTGACAACCTTTTAAATTCTCCCAGCTATACAGGAGGCTTTCTCCACAGTGAAAGATAACATCTCCCACCCATTCAAAACTGTTATTCGTGCTTTAACAAAACTACATTTCTAATCAAAACATCAGCTGTGCATCACCTGCAGTGGTGAAGTGCAAAATTGTATACCATAAAAGATATTTTCATAAAACAGCTAACGTATGAAAAGTCAGTGTCAAGGCACATGTACGAAGATGCGCTTCTGTAAATACCCAAATAAGTAAATTCAAAAGCTCAACATTTCAATGCCCCCTACACGAAGGGCACACAACCTGTGGTGCAATATACTAATGTATATCTATTAGAGCTACAAGTAAAAGCTCCATTTAACAATATCTTTGATATTAACATTAATTCAAACAACATTCTATAAATATAAAAGCTGCTACTTGCCACTTTCAACTCACTCATTGTTTTGGTTAAAATTATCCCCCCCCTCCCAAGTAAAACTATCAGCAGCTGTACTCATCACATCATCTCAAGTTAGTCTATTGTATGCTACCTCCCCAGCACAAAACGGTCAAAAGGAAGATCTTTCTTTCAGGAATTTATGGACCTAATCCCAATGAAAATTGAATTACACTGGACACGTAGAGAGAAAGACAACTTCATTGGGTTATCTATGTAGCCCAGTGTCCGCTGGAATGTGGACACCATATCAACTGGATAAGCCAGCACTATATCAGGGCTCTGCTAGTCTGAGTTTCTGCACCTAGTGGTCAAAAATAGCTCAACACAGCTTTCAGAATCGTCAGAGCAGCAAAAACATTTGGTTCTAGCAACTCATCTGTATGGACAAGTGTTGTAAACATTTAAGAAAAGGTTTAATTGGGAATGTACTGCATTAATTTTTTTCTCTAACAAACCAAATAACGGTTGATGCACACTGAAAGATGGAGAATGTCAGGCAGGGTCACAGATGTAACCCTTGAAGCCCTTGACATAGGTTGTGTGGTGGTTTCAAGTGCTGTTTCCTTGTTCTTGCTCAAACAGCAGCATGGCGAGCTGGGAGCGGGAACCGAGACCTTCCAAGTTGCTCTGAACACATCTGTGATAGATGTCTTCACTAAGCCGCGGGTTGCAGTCTTGGTAGCTGTACTGCTGGTGCAATGCTGGCTCCACTGCCCTGAATACATGCAGACCCGAATACTTGACGAACATGTCGTAGATGTCCAGGGTCTCGAGAATCTCCTCATTCTCCTGGACGTCTGCCACCATTCGTGCACGTGTTGCCATGTAGTCAGAGTTGTAAAAACATGCTTCTTCAAATGACCTAATGTCAAAATGGCCTGCCTCCTTAACCAGATCGACTGTGGCCGGACGCTGCTGGTTGTGGTAGGCCACATCAGGGTTATAATCCTGGAAATGGATGGGGAAGAATACCTGCCAGTTGTTAATGGAATTCATGCGACAGCGGTTCAGAAATTCTGAATTGACGTTTGTGTTGACCTTAGCCAAGAAGAACAGCGTGTCAACCGGGTGCTTCTTCGAGATGATGTCCATGAATTTGATCTGGGATGGTGTTTCCGTCTTGACACTTATCCATGGGATTTTTACTGTAGGGTATTTGCGTTCATAAGCATTTATCTGAGTTTTCACGCTGGCAAATATATCATTCTGGTTAACTTGCTGTGCCTCTACTGGGTCATAAATAAACAAGAATGTTAGGATGGCATTTTCACTGGTCTCAAAAGCATTTGCACTAAAGACTTCCAGGAAATGGTTGACATAGCTCCGGTCCTGCAGACTAAGAGGTATAATGATGTGAACCCTTGTGGCTTCAGTGACATAGGGCATGGGAATGATCTCAATTCGACTCAAAGGTCGCACCAGATGAACCCGCTTGCCGATGGATTGGCTGTGACCTTTTTGGTTGACCGCCTCCAGCTGAAGGTCCAAGGTGTACTCCATGCCCCTGACCGGGTCGAAGCGCCTGTAGCCATTAATCAGCTGCTGCTTCTTCAGGTGGAGGACAGGCTTGTACTTCTTGTTTAGCTCTCCTATGGCTATGTCAATGACATCAGCCACATCCATGCGGTCAACGCCGCGCAGTTCACACTTTGGAGAGCCATCGATACAGGAATAAATCTCCTCCTCTGTAAAGTATTCCCATTTCAGAACTTCGAACCGGGATTTCGGCTCAAAAGGTGGATTGATCCCCACAGGCCACTGGGCGGTCCGGTTGCCCTCAAAAGCAACCACACTCACATTCTTTATTTCTGCCTGCGGAAACATAAGAAGTGTTCTGACAGACATCTAGACAATTCAAACAACTAATAACACTAAAAATTTTAACCTACAATAGAGCTAAGCAAAGAGAAGACAGGTTTTTAGTTTCGACTGAGCCTTGGGTGATTTACAGTAGGGTATTTCCAATTGGCTCGCTTATCGACGATTGAAGGGATGATCAGCGATTGTTTTTTCATGCGCCGATATTAAGGCAATTTTACCTAACTCACTATCAGAACTAAGAAGACATGAAAACAGTCTCTAGAATCTGAACCACACTGCAATGTTTCCCATTCATTGATTTGTGGTGACACGACACGCCACAATATCAACACTGAACGCCCCAGTACAGTTTAATATGAGTAAAATCATAAGTCACTGTGGAGCTGCGCGCAGCGCCAAATGTCTCTGGCAGTGCACAGATTCACTCTAACTCTAACTCTGAGAAGTTAGTCTATCTATTTTCTTAACACAACGCTGTCAGTATCGGAGACGGATATGTTAGCATTAGATTACAGCTGGGTGTGAGATTGACACGGCTGTACATAGCGGCTATCGATTGCAATCTTCTTCTCCCTGCCGCGGGTGCGTGGCGCCACAGTAACGTGGCAGTTCTGTGGGAAACACTGTACTGTGCATTTACAGATGCTTCTGATGGTTTCTCTTAAAGATAATCAGCCTGTTTCTTCCGTGCTGGCATTTCACTGACTTGCTGCAACTTAACACCGCTCCCTGGTCATTAGATCGTCAATTGGTGATCTCAAGTAGCCATGATCAGACGATATCAAAATAGAGACGATCTCCCAACCCTAATTTACAGTAACACTTGAAAATCAGCTTACCTGCAGTGTCGCAATCTCATCGTAAGTCTTCTGGAGCTCAATCTCAGTGAAGTATCTGTGCAGCCTGTACATCTGCTCAGGGTCAGACACTGGATGGACAGTCAGAGCTTTCTTGAACTGTTCACTCTGCTCTTTACCAGGATCAGAGTTTTTTCCCAACTCATAATAGTGGTACTGAAGCCCCTGAGAAGAAACAGAGAGGTCTTTTCATGAGACATATCACATCTGCCGTGACAGAAACATGACTAATGTTAAGCTGACTTGCAATGCTGTCCTACTTCCAAACAAACTTTACACACTATCCAGGCAGCATCTTTGGCTCATCTCCACTGCAAACAGGCTGGTTTTGACCATAATTGTATAGTAAAGGGAAGACGGAGACTCATTTTGTAACAATAGGATGCTATTGTTGTACAACAGCTTTTTAGTGTCCATGTTTTGGTCATTTCAGGAACAAAATTTGTTCTGGGAATGTGGGGTTTAAGAGATTCTTTTTCTTAATTAATTTCACCACATTTATATCAATAAATTATGACCACTGCAGCATCGGGCTAAAAACTGTAGAATTTAAAGGTGAAACCAGATACTAATGCCTGAGACTGGCACCTGAATCCCACTTAAAGACGTTTAAGATGTAAACAGTAGTCACCTAAGGAGCTTGAGTGATTTAAAAAAAGTGAATCCGATTCCCGCTATTAACAGAACAAACAATGGCGACACTGCTTAACTCAGTCGCAAATGTTTGCCAACAGCTTACAGCTTGCAGCGGTACACTTAGTGAAGTATTGTCTGTCTCTAATGGTCATCAATGTTCTCTCTTAACAGATGAATTCATGTCTGGCTCTGTTTTCAAGTTGCTTCCTTTTAACTCCCCCCTGCTTCTCTGCCTTATCTAGGGGCTCTGCTGGAGCTCTTCTGACTCAAGGCGCTTTAGTTAGCCATGCAAGTCACTCTCAACTGTGTAACAAGATGGTTTCCTCCACTGGGTCATGGCTAAGGAGGACAAAATGGAAGCAAATAAGTCCATTACAAAATATTAGCCTGCACATATGTTGTATACATTGTAAGGGCACGTTTACATTGAGAACCTTCCAACAAAGTATTTTAATATGTTCACAAAGACCACAATCTTTAGTATGGTGTAAGCAAACTGAGCCGAATGCAACCAAACAATCACCTGAAAGGTCATTGGGACAGATCAGGGCTCCACAGAGCTTGTTTGACCTTAAATGCTAATGACATTACAGGAGCACAGCATGTTGACCCACAGGGGATTTTAACACCATTGAACCTAAGCAAGGTTGAAGTCAGCTCTACTCTGCTTGCCTGTTTACCTATTCCACACTGCTGCAGGAGCGGTGGAGAACAAAAAACGAAAGGCTAAAGGCTATTAGCGATCTACTCTGTAATATAAATACCACCTCTTTGCGAGCATGGTAATTAGTTTTATATAGCGGTATGTCAGTTTTCAGTGCTGTCCCAGAGGCATGGAGTGATTTCTGCCATGACAGTTTCGTTGTTTTGTCAAAGAGGGCCACTGCTGTAACCTGTCTCACTACTTTTCTAAACGAAAAGTCTGACAGCGTTTTTTTTCCCCCCTCTGTGGCTCCTCATTCATTTCATCTATGATCTACCTCTTTCCGTTCCCTTTAAACATAAAAACATTCAATAGCCGAGAAACTTTTATAGATTTTGAAAATGTCTGCATTATTAAAAATGAGAGCTGTATGGTCTTAAGTAACTATTGTTGTGATCATGTGTCCCCTCACCAATACACTTAACCTACCTCATATTCATTGACACAGTTTGTGTTGGTGTAATCAATGATGCATCTTCCGAGCCACTCATCGGGCCTTGCGCTCAGGATGTCATTCCTGCAGTTTTCCAGGAAGGGCTGGAGTCGGAGGAGCAAGGTACGTGACAGGATGTACCCGAACCCTCCGTTGCAGTACTTCCCTTCCATCTCTCCACCTATGAACTCCTCAGGGCTGCCCATGTAAAGCTCTCGATCCATACTCAGGTGCTCCACCAGGGCTTTGATCCTGTCGGCTTCTGTGTAGGCGTCATCTTGGACGAAGTAAAACCAGTCGTACTCATTAATGTAATGATCTAAAATGTGTCTGATATTCTGAAACATGTTCCATATTAGCCTCTCGTCCCCATGCGAGACGACAAACATGCCATGAGGGACTTTGCGGTTGCGCGTGCCGGTGAAGAAGACCACGGCGTCCAGGTGATGGCTAATGGTGCGATTGACAGCTACGCCCAGGGTGTTTATGGTGTTTTTTGACGTCAGGACCCCGACAAACAGACGCTCTCGCATCCCCAACTCTGTGCTTATGTATTTAGCCCTGAAAAAGACATGAGACAGCTTCTGAATAAGCTATTGACTAACAAAGAAAACAACATGAGCTCTTTGGAAAAGTAAACGTGCAAGAACATGAATTGTGATTCATCACCGCCACCACCACAACCCAACCTAACTTTTACTCTTTTACCATTATTGGCAAGAATTACGCCTCTTCTTAAAACCTGTAACACTGTGTGGCTTGATAAATTAGCAAATGGAATGAAACTTAATCAGCAACTATTTCTTTCAAGCAAAAATGCCAAACATGTCCTAGCCCCAGCATCTCAATAAGGCTTTGCTACTTTTCTTTGTCATACAGGATATAAATTTAAATATATTTGGGCTTTGAGCTGTTGGTCTGACAAATGAACACATCACGGGGCTCTGGGTGAGCATTTTTCACCACTTTTTCATATTCCATACCCTAAACAACAATTAATTTAAAATCGAGAAACAATCAATTTAAATTAATAATGAAAAAATCATTATTTACAGCCCTCTTATTGTACAAACCACTGCATGGCACAGGTTGCCAATGAAACCTGGACGGTGAAGCTCTAACCTCAGGAGAACTTTTGCAGGGGAATGTTAGCAGGCAGAAACCAGCAGAGGAAGAGGGGCTGTGGACAATTTGATCAAAGCCAATAACATCAGGGAGAGGGGAAAAAATTACTTCAGAATTAGTTTTGTTAATTCTAATTCACACGTGGTCTGTGTAAAATCTTATACCCACATGACAACCAGTGACACCTGCACACCTAGCGTTACATGGACACAATGATTGATTTATCAGTCATTTACTGAGAATGAGCTGCACTGCGGCCTGCTGGACTGTAGCTTAAAATGATGTGTTCAATACAAGTATAAGCCTTATATAAACAGCCCACTTACAGAGTGTGTTCACCAGTTACAGTAAATGGCCACACAACGCGTACCTGAAAACTTTCTTTGGGGCACTCTGTTGGACTTGTTTATATGGGACTATTCTTGGTTCAAAGTCTTCTTCGGACTCCATATCGTTGATAGTCGCAATGGAGTTGGGCTTTCGGGCTCCTTTGAGCTGTCCATCCTGCCCCACAGTCACATCATCGCCCTCCTTGCCGTCCAGGTAGCACGCTTCTTCCGTCCAGTTTACACTCAATAAACTCAGCGTGAACCCTAAAGAAATACCGATTACCACCGGGCCGAGCGACCGCAGGACAGAAATAAACGCAGGAAATCTCATCTTGTGCGTCGGCTCCTCTGTGGGACAGTCCCGCGTCGCTTCAAAGGCGTACGAACTGGCCTCTGGTCCGGGACAGGTCAACTATACATCAAGTCTGACGCGAGGAAGCCGTATCGACAATCAACTCACAGAAAGATGTAGCTTCCTCCTTAAAATTTACCCAGGATTCTTACGTGTCAGTGTCGCGGTTACTTGGCTCCTCCCCGGCCAGACTTTAGCATCAGAGGCGGGACCAGTCCCAGGCTGAGCGGATGAGTTCAGGCTGCGCAGGGCGGATTTAAAAAGCGTTATAATTTCCTACTAATATTGTAACATAGATGCATCTTTCTGTGCAGTAGTTTTTATTTGCACCTCCCTTAGTGTATAGGCTATATACAATTTTATATGTAAATATAGGCAATATAGTAATGCTAGAAAATATTTATTTACCATATAGACTGTATCATGTTGGCTACACTGAGCATCTTTGGCATAAAATGTCCCACATTATTAATAAAGTTCTTTTTCTACAATCTGTATGATTTCAGAATTTTTATTTTAACACATTTTTTTTGTCCTTTTCTGGCAGTCAGGTTTAGTTTACAGAGATAAAATGCTGTGCCCTGGGTTGTTTTTTTGTGTGTGCTCCTTGTGAATGATTAAAAAAAACACGGGCTTGTAAAACAGTTTGAATGTGATCACAAATACTGCAACCCTTTTCATTGAATTTACTTTACATCACCCTATCTATATCACATTACTTTAGGATTTATCCAGAGTTGAGAATAAGTACTATTAGTGCGTTGGCACGTGTCAGTCTCATTTCTCAAGAACATCATTGTTAACGCACACAAGAAAAGTAATCAGTCAGCCTTCAGCTCAGCCTTCAGCTCAACCACCTGGCTCTGGCTGTTCTCTATCCGGCCTCTGTGCTGCTCACCCAGGTGTCAGGGGCAGTGTGCTTTGTGGTCTTTTTGAGTCCTCTTCTGAAACTCACTGCCCCTGATCTCACCTATCTCACTGAGACCTGAGCAGCATCAGGGTTGGCACGTTTATATAAAGTCTTCCCACTTCAGTTGGATAGGTGAATTGAGTGTTTGTGATTGTCAGTTTAAAGCCTAGGATGATTCAATTTGGTTGCTGTGCTGGTGTGATAATGCAGGGTGCTGCAGGCTGGTGATGTATGCTAACTTCTCACTGCTATGCACATACTGTGCCCATGTGTATGAACATAGGCTACATTTATAGACAGACAAACATACATGAACCTAGTACCAAGGCTTATTTGACTCTAGTAAGCCTCATTTTAAGTAGGTCCATTTTTATGTCCTTCTCTGTAATATGCAACTAAAATTTTAATGTAAAATGGAACCTCTCTTGGAATATTGTGTTTGTGCTTTACACCCTCTACTGTGTGTTGGCTTTTTTATTTCATTTACCCAGATACAAATCAAATCTTTGCTGTCTTGTGCCCTCTAGTGGTAACCAAAACACTTCTCTCAATTAATCTGAATCACAAAGAGTTATTCAAATTGCTAAGAGAATACATGACAGTAAGTTGTCTTTTACATTTGGCCCAATACACAACTGAATACAATTAAATCTGTGCGTGGATTTTATTATTATTATTATTTGTAATAGTAGTAGTATTGTTGTCAACTCAATTCTATTGTGAATCATTGTTTTTATTTTTTACAGGTGCTGTAATACCAACATTTTGTTAGAAATCAAGTATGACACAATGCCATTCACTCATAATCATCATCAAGATCAGATTTGTCATAGTTAAAAGTCATGGCCGCCTTCCTTTTATCGCCATAATGTCCTATTTCTGTGTGCACTACAACGCAGGTCCTGATGCAGATAAGAAATGTCTAAACTTTTCCTTTAAAAAAAATTATTAAACATTTAACCAATTTGAATTGTTTAGAAACGTTTCTATTGTGCTCTATATGCTATGTAGGCCCATTACTCAACAAGGTTGTGTAAAGGAACATAGTGTAAAAGTAAAGGTCATAGTGTATGCATTGCACAATAAAAAATATATTAATTCAATAATCCATTCATTCATTTTATTTTTTTTATTTAACCTTTATTTTACCAGGAAAGAAATCCATTGATATTTTTAATCTCTTTTTCAAGGATGTCCAGGATGTCCTCATTGTCATTGCATCCCGAGATCACTCTCAACTCTCAATTTCACACAACAATGACTTGCCTCACTAACATAATGGTCCAGCTTGTAATAAAGGATCAGGTTCATAATTTTTCAAAATAGCCAGGTGTCTCTTTGTGTTACATGTAACTTTGGAAGATGTCCACTCGCACTGTGCAACACTGATGCCTCATATTAACTTCAGGTAAAATACGCGCAGTTATATATCCCCCATCACTGACATTGAAAGGGCGTTAAGATTGGATGTCTTAATGCACAGTATAAACAGGGGGTATGATTACAGCAAGCAAATCCGCCTTTGCTTGCTGTAATCATATCTTATATCTGACTGTTGTTTTAAGATGTGCAGAAACATGAAGTGAAGTTTTTTTTCCGGCATGTAGTTTGTTTTTCCCACATTCCTCCTGAGCCTTTCAATGCATCAGTTTAGGTGCCCTTACAGTTGCCTGAATAAAAACTGTCCATGTCAACTAGCAGCACCCTACACCGCATCTGCCCTTCAGTGTTGGAGTTAGTCCTCACATGCTAAGTTTCAGCGTGTCAGAGCCTCTACGCATTTTTAATGCAGCTTTAGGACTTCTCACGTCTCTTGTCTTTGTTCTGTGTTTTTAAAGGCGCTCAGTGTAATTGCGGTAATGGAGTGTCGTGTGTTGTCTATTCAGAGTCATGTTGTTAGGGGATACGTGGGGAACAAGTCGGCAACATTCCCGCTGCAGGTGAGATCTGGCTCCATAAAACCTCTCAGCTCAGGTAACAAGACGGAGGAAAAACAGCACAAAAACAGGGAAAGAAATAGATATGGAAATGCCTTTGGTACAGAGCCTGACTTCCTCATGTGTGAGAAGAGTGACATTTATTTTAACGTTATATCAAGGACGTGTTCTGACCTGGCGAAACATCTGAGGCCGTCCTTCAATTGTTTTGAATTTCCCCACTAATGGCTGTAAAGTTAAAACGCCAGACTATCCTCAAGCTCAATGAAAAATGTGCTGGAGGATGACGGCGCAAAAGCCACTTTTCAATTAGAAATTTGAGAGTTAAGTGTAGAGATATTTCCACTCCTTACACACTAACATACTGTAGCCACAGGTAGCAAGCAGTGCGAGCTGCTTTAAATGTCGTCTTTTGCATGCATGCAAGATTTTTGGATTTCATTTTCCACTCTAGGCAGCCATTGGTTTCTTTTGATTTCCGTATCAGTCAAGTGACTTACCACAAATCAGTTATTTTGAAAGCATGTGTGTGTCATTCGCGTTATGTCAGTGTTGCATTTGAATTGTATGACCATGCACAGACAGCAAAAAGTTGACAAGATGATCTAGTTTATGGTCCTTGTCGCAAACCACAGAAATGGCCGTTTTAATTGCAGGAGAACACATTCAGAAACTATAGCATTATATAGGCTAACAGTGTCAAAATGTACTGTGATGTTATATGAAATGTACTAAAACCTATCAATATAAAAATATGTATATATAACTAAGTCTGTTTTTTTGTTGTTGTTTTTTTTTTAAAAGCAGCTCTTGGAGTAATTCACCACACTGTTTCCATAGTACAGTGAAACACAAGCTTATCTAAACAGTCTTTGTCCTCTGTATAAACAGCTGCTTCATTATTTATTTATTTTTTCTCTCAGGTGCTGGGCTTTGAAGTGGACTCTATCAACTCTGTGCAGTTCTCCAATCACACAGGTTGGCTAAGTGTTTTTAAATTGCCCCCATGTGAAAGTGATTTTTAAAAACACTTTCACAAAGTAGATTCATTTTGAGTCAAGTAGAGTAATTTTCCACTTTCTTAAAGCTGGGGTAGGTGATGTTGGAGAAACTAGCAAGAGGCAGATGTTTTTTTTCATGAACTTGAATTTTACTCTTGTTTTTTTTTATCGAAAGTGACTTACAATTGTTATACAGTATATGCCAGAGGTCACACTCCTCTAGAGCAACTAGGGCTTGCTCAGTGAAGTGTCTCAGTGGGGGATTGAGCCACACCAAAGGCAGGTGTCTTATCCATTGCGCCATCACCACCCCATGACTGGCTGTGCTTATTTACAGTGGGGAGAACAAGTATTTGATACACTGCTGACTTTGCAGATTTTCCCACTTACAAAGCATGTAGAGGTCCAATTTTTAATCATAGGTACACTTCAACTGAGAGAGACGGAATCTAAAACAAAAATCCAGAAAATCACATTGTATGATTTTTAAATAATTAATTTGCATTTTATGACTATGTATTTGATAAATCAGAAAAGCAGAACTTTGTATTTGGTACAGAAACTTTTGTTTGCAATTACAGAGATTTGTACGCTTCCTGTAGTTTTTGACCAGGTTTGCACACACTGCAGCAGGGATTTTTGTCCACTCCTCCATACAGACCTTCAGGTTTCGGGGCTGTCGTTGGGCAATACGGACTTTCAGTTCCCTCCAAAGATTTTCTATTGGGTTCAGGTCTGGAGACTGGTTAGGCCACTCCAGGACCTTGAGATACTTCTTACGGAGCCGCTCCTTAGTTGCCCTGGCTGTGTGTTTCGGGTCGTTGTCATGCTGGAAGACCCAGCCACGACCCATCTTCAATGCTCTTACTGAGGGAAGGAGGTTGTTGGCCAAGATCTCGCGATACATGGCCCCATCCATTCTCCCCTCAATATGGTGCAGTCCCCAAAGCATCCCCAAAGAATGATGTTTCCACCTCCATGCTTCACGGTTGGAATGGTGTTCTTGGGATTGTACTCATCCTTCTTCCTCCTCCAAACACGGCGAGTGGAGTTTAGACCATAAAGCTCTGTTTTTGTCTCATCAGACCACATGACCTTCTCCTTTTCCTCCTCTGGATCATCCAGATGGTCATTGGCAAACTTCAGATGGGCCTGGACATGCCAGCGCATGTCCAATGACCATCAGTGTGTTTACTAATGGTTTTCTTTGAGACTGTGGTCCCAGCTTTCTTGAGGTCATTGACCAGGTCCTGTCGTGTAGTTCTGGCTGATCCCTCACCTTCCTCATGATCATTGATACTCCACGAGGTGAGATCTTGCATGGAGCCCCAGACCGAGGGAGAC